GGAAGTGGTGCTGGCCCCTACCCTGGGGGTCTTTAAGAAGAGGCTGGATGCCTACCTGGCTGGACTCATTTGAGTCCTGTTTCTCTTTTTGGGGTTTTTTGTTGTTCTCCTGCCCTGGCGGGGGGTCGGGCTAGAAGATCTACTAGGTCCCTTCCGACCCTTAATCTATGAATCTATGAATCTATGAAAACCCTTACTCTCAGGGATTTTCTGTGAACCACAGCTCAGGTGACACCACCAACCTTATAGCACATAAACTGTAAAATGCTCCTGGCTCATGAGCTCCTGAGAGGCTTGCGTCTCCTGTCTCTAAGGAAGACTAACACCTTGACCCTGGCATAGGATCTAAAAGGCCAGAGACACAGGGGTCAGATGATGCATCACTGCAGCTGAGAAATGCTTCCATGAGTTCCTGGTTGAATCTTTTGATGAGCCTGATGTCAAGACCTAGTTGCTGATTCAAACACAGAATTAGTATCCTAAACAGGTAAGGATGCTATGACAGAGGAAAACCTAGGTAAATTTATAGCACAACTTCAATGTTTTAAAAGTGTGGGAGCAGATAAGGAAAACAGGTGAGATAAAAGAGACCGTGCAGTCTGCAAAACCCTATATTTTGGCCATCAGGATCATATCAGCAAGTGCCTTAAGCTTATCTGTGTAACAAACGGCCCTGTCTCCGTTAATAAAAGGATAGACAGATTTCAAAGCCAACTCACAGCAAAGATTCGCTCAAGCATTGGCAGGCAGCTCAGGATCCCATTGAAGCTACATACTGAGAACAGATGTCACTTAGTGATTACGTGACCCTTCACCTCCCTAAAGGAGCAAAATGATCAAACCAATGAGTTATTTTTTCTAGATTGATGCCCAAACTTATACCACAGGTGGAAAAGAGTCAAAAACTGATAAGACTCATCAGTCACCAAATGTGGCATGCATGTTGGCTTTCTCTCCTGTCTGCTGTCTGCTTATGTTAACTTTGAACGCTGGTGATTCATTCTGTAGGTGGCCATTGAGGAGAACACTTACCTATACCAATATGGAAATACGCTATTTTTATAAGATTAATTGCTGTTACAATGACAGAGAACCATATTCAATCTATCAAGGAAAAGATCAAGTCAAATCAGTCCTGAGGCCACTGCAACCTACCAGCCCTCCTGTACTCTGCTGTGCGTTTGGCTAGCTTTATTCAGTCTGTCAACTGAAGCCTCATCCAGTCCTTAAAATTGGTTCCTCAGCTCTTCTTGGGTCTACCTTGTTTTCTCTTTCCCTCTACTGCACCCTGCATTACGGTGTTGGCCAGGGTGGCCTGCCTTCTCGTGATGTGTCCAAACCGGTGCAGCTCCCTTCATCGGCAGCCTCCAACAACAGTTCATAAGTTCTCATTTCTTAACTGATTTACTGCTTGACAGACTCATTGGACCGGTGCTCAGCATACGAGACATGCAGCAGTCTCCAAAAGCAGCGCATTTCAAATGTCTCAGTTCTGTTCTCTAATTTCTTAGTAAGCGTCCATGCCTCGCACCCATGAAGCATCATAGAGATGACCACAGCATGCAGCAGATCTAACTTTACCTTCCGTATCATACCGCTGCTTGTCCAGATTTTCTTTAGTTTTGTTAGTTGGCTGGTGGCAATGGCTACTGCGGTCTTGATTTCCTTTTCAGATGTTGAGTCTTCTGTGACGCTGGCTCCCAGATACTTAAAACTTATTCCTCTTTCTAGTTTTTTTGTTGTCGACCTTCACATCAACATTGCTGTCGGTGATCTCTGAGGTTGTCATGACTTGGCTTGTCTCAGCGCTTATTTCCCTTCTGTAGCTCTTAGCAGTTTTGCCTAGCATTTCTATAAGTTCTTGAAGCTCTTCAGGTGTTCCTCTATCCAACCGATGTCATCAGCAAAGCACAGGTTGCTAATCTTCTGCCCTCCAACTGATACAGTTCCTGTGAAATTCCCTAAGGCACCTGACAAGTTTTGCTCAAGGAAGAGGTTGAAAAGCATGGTGAGATCAGGCATATTGAAGCTGGAATCCATTCAGTGATGCTGTTGTCGACCAGCCCTCCACTACTTGCATTGCTGTAAAGTTCTTCTATCAGTCTGTCAGGGAACTGCCGATGCTATGCTTCTTTATCGTGAGCCAAAGTGCTTTGTGCCATACTATCAAAAGCTTTCTTGAACTCTATGAAGCCATGGTGAAGTTCTTTTTGGTCATCACGGTACTTTTCACACAGTCTTTGGATGCTGAAGATTTGATGTGTGGTACTTCTCCCTGCTCTGAATCCAGCTTGCTCTTCTGCTGGCACAGTCTCTACTTGAAGCTTGAGTCTGTTCAGGATTATTCTTAAAACTACTTTGCTTGGATGGCTGATAAAACTGATGGTGTGGTATTTTGTGCATTGATGGAGATTCCCCTTATTAGGAAGGGCAATGATGACTGACTTGGTCCACTGGGTTGGCCAAGTCTTCTCCCTCCATGACACGCTGCAAATTTTGTGAAGCATGCTTATGCTGTCACCCATCTTCAAGTGTTCTGAAGGTATGTTGTGTACCCCAGGTGCTTTCCCATCCTTCAGGCTGCTAATGGTTTCTTCTGCTTCATCTCTTGAGATGTCTGGGTCTCCCTCTTCAGTGCTTCCATGTTCTCCTTTCTCTAGGTGGTCAAATACTTCAGGCCCCATTTGGATGTTGTAGTTGTAGAGCTCCTTTGCATGCTCTGCCCATCTCTTGTGTATTGTGTTGTTTTCCGTAAGCAATTTTCCATTCTTGTCTCCTACTGCCATTGTTCTTGCTTGGTGCATTTTGTTTATCTCCTCAGACATCAGGACATTCAATTTATAGTATAGCCAAGCTATACATGCATACGTATATAGTATACCTAAGGCCAGAGGTGGATCTAGAGGGGTGCAAGGGTATGATTGCACCTGCCTTTTAGACTATACCATGTGAGCAGCAGTCAAGAACATTTTAAAGTCCCCAAAACAGGTAAGTATTGCCCCCTCCCTTCCTCTCCCTGCTCAGTGGCATGTCACCTCCCCTTCTGTCACATTCCTCCCTTCCCTGACGGTCGCTGCTTTCCCCAGCTGACCATGGGGCAGGGGGAGCTCCAGAGCTGTTCCTGCCCTGCAGCAGCCAGGCTGTGCAGGGACCTAGGCTCAGCCAGGGACAGCAGCAGCAGCGGGTGGGTTGCTCCTCCCTGCTCCTGTTCCCTGCCAGCCCAGGAGCCGGCTCAGGAAGGGGAAATGCACCTGCTGCCCCTGCCTCCACTGCTTGTCCCTGGCTGAGCCCAGGTCTCCTGGAGCAAGGCAGGACTGGCTCTGGAATTTCCCCCTCCTCCGGGTCAGCCTGGGACAGTGGGGACAACAATGAGGGATGATGGAGAGAATGGGAGCAGAGGAGCGGTGCAGCAGAGGGGAAGAGAGAGGTACCTAAAGTCAGGGGTGAGCAGCAACCTTACCTTATTCAGGGACTTAAAAAATAGTCCCTGGTTATGGCTTACACAGCATGATGCGCCTATCTCAATGATAGCGAGGAGATGGGAGTGGGAGTGCAGCCACCCCTGAAGCACTGGTCACTGCTCCTACACCTGCTTTACAAAATCTTGGATATGCCCATACTTTGGACAGCAATTCTCAGTCAGGGTGCTGCAGCACCCAGGGTGTTGCCAGATCCTTTAAAGGGTGCTTAAAAGTGTGAGGAGATAAGCAGATAAGCTAAGCAGGTAAGTACAGGCTCAGGCTTGTTCCCGCCTGGCTGTTGTCCCACCCCCACTGCCCACCCTCTCTGCAAGGAGGCAAGCGCTGATATATATACATTCATTTTTTAAATTGGTGCTGAGTTTGCAAAAGGTATGGAGCGGTGCCTTGAGTCCAAAAAGCTTGAGGACCACTGACCTTAGGTATACTAGCATACCTTTGTACCCAACTGTCTTCAAGAGCTTCAAAGAAATCCAAAACTGCATGCTAAAAATTCTTAAAATTTGCTCAGAGTGAAAGGAATTAGCTCAACCAAAACCTTTAGAAATGTCTGTGTTAAGTTGCTGCTGTTAAATAGGCAAAATGGCAGTGTTGCTTGTCAAATGAAAAAATATTTAAATCATTATTCATAATTAGTTCTGCAGTGTGAGTTTAGTTTCAGTGAGTAGAAAACGTTTCTGGTACTAACAACTGCCTGCCTCCTTGATGGCTCTGATTTGATCATTTATTTTCTTATGATCAGCCTATGTGCTTGTTAAGGGAAACTTGTATAAGCCAGTTATATCCTTTATATAGACGGAGACCTGTTATGTTTGTTTCTTCACTTATAGTCCTAACATTCCTAACTATGGATCCTTCTATCCTGTCTAGATAGAGGAAAGCTGCTGTTTCCATGCTTGCTCATGGATCCATTTCCCTCAGGCCCTGATTTAGCAATGCATGTGCTTAAAGTTATTAGAAGTCAACACAACTATGCCCGTGCTTAAAATAAGTACTTTGCTGGATCAGGGTCTGGCTGAATGATGACTCAAGCTAGGTAGCAGCTTTGAAGGACATGCATCTGGTCCTGAGTTTGCCCCAATTCACTTTATTTCATATTCAACACAATAAGCAAATGTCATCATGCTTAAAAAACCCACTCTGCCGGGAAAACAATATGGATATAAAGAGGGGTGAGAGCAAGCTCAGTGCCAACTTGCCTCATTACTTCATCACTAATCAGTTGGAAAATGCCATTTGATAGTTGTTTGTAGTTGAGGACATAGGTGCTGAATTTTATTTTTGCTGGGAGGGGGTTAAGCTGATGCCCCCCCACCACCAGTGGCACAGCCGGAGCAGAGCACGTGGCAGGGTGGGGGTGAACACAGGCTGCCCACTGCAGGCTTGGGGCTCCCCGCCCTGCTGCCCTCCCCCTGGGAGCCCTGTACTGGCTGCGCCACCGTGTTGAGGTGCCCCCTGCCCACCCGGCAGCAGTGAGGGGTACAATTCCACACCATCACCCCTACTGCTGCTGGGTGGGCAGTGGGTGCCCCACCAACTTGCATCTTCTCCTGTCCCATGCATAACTCTGGGGGGCATGTGCCCCTCCACCCATTCACCCCTCCCCAGGAGTGCATGCAGCAGCAGGGAGCTGGCCTCCCTTGCCCTCATGGACGACCTGCCTGTGGCTCCGTCTTTCTCTCTGCCCTGGCCACAGGCCCCGTGGACTGCCCTGGCTGGGCATCACCCTCAGGCCAAGTCTCTGCCCCACTCCCTTCTTCACTGTGGGAGCCTCAGTCTGCCCCACCTCCCCTCCATAAACTAACCTCCAGGCAGCTGAGGGAACTGCTCTCCACTGCTGCCTGGGGCTGTATTCCTGGCCATGTGCACATGCATGCACACACATACACGTGACACCCCCTGCATCCCACTCCCCACAGTCTCTTGCAGGCTGGGACTCTGCCAGCCTGCAAAGGGAAACCTGCTATTTCCTGCATTTTTCAGTGGTGAACGAAAAACCTGGATCCCTGCACAATACTGGGAATCCGGGACAAATGCTGTCCCAGAGTCATGCAGCCCGGGACCAGGACTTGATGTTCCCATTTTGGGACTGTCCCGCCCAATTAGTGACGGGTGGTCACCCTACCCTCTTCCCGGAGGAGGCCAGGCACGTACTCGGTGCTTATGGTTAAGGATGCCAGTTCTGGGAGAAAACAAGTGATGGAAAGTTTACCCTGACTTCAGTGTGGACAAAATTCACCTCTGTGCACTGAGCCAGAACAAGGCCCATCACCTCTTGTGCATTATTTGAAGCGCTTACGTGGGGCCTGAGCACAGTGGATCGTCTGCCTGGCTGAGTCAGCTTGATAAATGAGAATGTCCTTCCCCCCGTTCTGTGTTTCCTACAAATCCTGCCAACACTTTTACCTCCTTACCATAAAACAGAAGCAGGCAGGAAATGAAGCAGTTTTATAGGACACCAGAAGAGCTCAGATTTCAGTTTACTGAGGATTTGCAGCTATGAAATAAGAGCAGGCATTAACCTGTCTACCTGGAAATACTATAACTAAGCAGCAGAGTTGAGGGGGTTTTCATTTTACTGAGACCCCCAGCAGGAAAAGCGCTGACACTGTGCATTGCCCTTTTTTATTTTCATACGTGGTTGATGGCAAAGACATTTTGCTGCCTCTGGAGATCAGACATCACCTTCCTCTACAGACAACTCAAAATATAAAAAAGGTCGGCAGCTTCCCCTGGTACAGTGTCAATGCTTTTACTGATGTCCATGTATGTGAGCTAGCAGGGCTTCTTCCTCTGAACCAACTGCCTTAGATCTGATGGAGGGCAGATGTCCCGCTTGCCGGTCACCAGCTGTGGGAATCCATTTGGGCAGTCAGCACCAGATCCTATTCCTCTGATTAGGTGCCTAAGTGACCTAGGGTGCACTTGTAAAGTCCTACCTCACCCTACTTAAGTCCCAGAAAATCCATTAATGTGAAAAATGTGTGGTCATGTCCTCCTTGTCCTCGCTGCTCTTTGTGACTTAGTCTTAAAGCTGAGATTCACAGATTCACACAAGTTTAGGGCCTGAAGGGACCTCGTGAGATCATCGGGTCCAGCCCCCCTGCTCTGGGCAGGAAAGACCGCTGGGGTCAAATGACCCCTGCAAGGTGCGCGTCCAGTCTCCTTTTGGAGATCTCCAGGGTAGGTGTCTCCACCACCTCGGCTGGGAGTCTATTCCAGAGTCTGCTCACACAAACTGTGAAGTTTTTTCCTTTTATCCAGCCTGAAACCTCCTTCTAGGAGTTTATGACCGTTGCTCCTGGTTTTCCCCTGGGGCGCTTTGGTGAATAGTTGTTTACCTAGCCCCTGATGCTGTCCCCTGATATATTTGTAAGCTGCCACTAAATCCCCCCGATGAGGATAGTGCCTGACGGAAGGAGATGCATTGTTTTGTTCAGGGACTCAAGCAGTGGGTGGAACAGGATCGCAATAGCGCCTATGTCCACTTACGTGCCTATGAGGCAGAATAGGACCTGACCCTTTCACTTACCTTAGGTGCAATGGTCCTTCAAGATGATTGCCTGCGTGAATCTGCACTATGCAGGCTCCTTCCTCCCTCTGGTACTTCAGTCTAATAATAGATGCTGTGCTTAATGGAAGGAACAAAAGGGTAGCTGGGGCTGCTCCCCCTTGTCTACAGTCCTCAGGGGACACTGGAGGACAGCAAAGGCAAGGTATATAGGCAGCTCCAACAGATGCTTCTCCCCAGAAACCTCAGTGCTTACATGTCCAAGGCCCGGACATCACTTTCCCAGTGCAGCCATTCAGGAGGTTGTTGCAGAGAAGCTCAGTGAGTATCTGTAAGATATTGTGCTAAGGAGGTCAGCTTGGGCTCTCTGTTGGAGCCAGCCCTGTGCACATGCATGCAGGGTGCAGGCAGGGGGGAAAGTGCCGGGCACTTGATGGAGGAAGAGGAGTCAGCTGCTGGGACGCAGCGGGCCAGTGCCAGGTAAGGCAGCTGTTGTGACCTCCTTGCTTGAACTCCCACTTGAACAGGAAATAGGAAGGATCTTGTGACACAGGTGGGAAGAGTCATCCTCTGACACACTGAAATAGTGTGTGGATCTACAGTTGTGACGCCTGTCACCAGGACAGAAATAAAAGGCCTCAGGAGTGTGGGGTCAGTTGTTAAACAGCCCCAGCAGGGAAAAAAGTTCCTCCTCACCATCAGTGAGAGCGGCAGAGCTGCAGGGCTAGGCTTGGCAAGTGCAGTGAGAGTTTCTTAGGGTAACGGGGGAAGCACTGATTGACCAGTAGTTTTCAGATTCAAGTGGGAAGGCTCCAGGGCGCTCCTTTCCAACTGAGCAGACAGGAGCACAAGAGACAGAAAGTGCTGGTTGGAAAAGCACGCTCTTAAACACCATCGCTCCGAGTTGTTTAACTTCAAAGAAGCATGACTGAGATCTCATCTGTTATGATCAGGAGACAGAATTATTAGAAGTCCATCCACATGCAGCATCAGAGAAGTCAGAGAGGTAAAATCCCTTTCATGTCAAGTCTGCTTCATTCCTTGTTGGATTAGAGTTGAATTAGTCTGCACTGTATTTGCAAGCGTGTTGTCTGTATCCAACAGCATCTCGACAGGAACTTGGTGGAAGTCCCATTGCTTGGGGCATTTAAAATGATTTCAGTCTACTGCTGCTTAATATTTGGGACAGTAGTGCACAGAGGCATCACTTAGAATGATTATCGCGCTGTGCTGACTATTATATAGACACATATATGATCCCAGCCCTAAAGAGTCTGCCAGATTTTGTTATTAGGAAGAATTTCCCTGATACTCAGTTTAATTGTCTCTTTCCAAATTCCATCCCATGACTTGCAGTATTAACAATTCAATGTTTGTTAGCCGCTAACAATGCTTCACCCGCTTTCAGTGACTTACAGACGGTCAACAGACCTGATGATCAGCTGCCAGCAAACAAGAGGATGAGTACCATCACCAGAGGGATGACCTGAACAGCTGAAAAAATCAGACCAGATGCCAGTAATTCAGGCAGGCTCCTGTAGGAGCTCTTCTCATAAAACCCAGAAAGGTTCTCACTTCCTGAGATCCACGTTGGCCCACCTGATAATAGTCATGAGACATAGCACTGCCTCTTTGAAGCATTTCCCAACTTGCCCTAAATTCTCCTCCCTCCCTCCCTGTCAGGTGGGTGGCTAATTATTTACCTCTGTTTTTACCTTTTACCATTTTTTAGACAGGTTAGTTCAGGGACAAAAAGAAGGGATGGGGCAGATCCAAAGAAAATCTAAATCTGTGCCACAACTGTGATCCAAAACAGCTCTGCTCAGTGGCTGCTTGAACTCATAAGGCAACTTCCTTTTTGATGGGAAGATCCTTTGGACACCTGCAGTTTTGTTGTGGGGATGCCCAGAACTGTCCCTGTCTTAAAAACTTGGCTTTCATCTCCCACCACAGACCCATTAAGCACTGCACAAGCCCCCTACACACTTCCATCCAGTAAGTATGCTTCCAGCACGCCTAACCAGATGACAGCATTTGTAGGCATCTGTCTGTCCCGTGAGACAATGTAATTACCCCGGGTGACACATCAGCTCGCTGAATGTGAAGCTGGAGTGACCTTTCCAGGGTGCAAAAGCCTGGGCAGTGTATATGGAGACACCGAGCTGCTGACACACCGGTGTCCCTCACTCGGCCTTGCTGGTTTAGTCCAAAGGAAAGGCAGGTGCCGGTACATCCAGAACCAGCTTGGCTGCAGGAGCTGCCGGAGCAAAGGAGATCATCCATTTGTCCGTCTATCAGGATTTTACTCCTAGACTGGCTGCCGACCAGGGTTAAAGAGCTGTCATTTTATTTCAACTAATGTCATCACAGCTACAGCATAACTCTTACACTACCAACTTACGTAATGTCATGTATAGAAATCTCTGGTGGAAAAAGCTGGAGATCAAATGGTTGGATTCTTTTGTCATCTCTTGATGCATTACATTAAGCGGCCGCTAGCTAAAGAAACTCCCCCAGAAATAACCCTGAGAGCATGGCCGGGGCACCAATCTCCCAGATTGCAGCTGCATGTCTTAACCATTAGGCTACGGGGTCCTTTTCCTTCTTGTTTTCTCTCTTTCTGGCCCCATGAGTTTTGTATTTTTGGCTTGCATTTAACCCTAGCTTCAATAGGAGGAGGTGAAGAGTGCCTCCCTCCCCAGCCTGTAATCTGGTGGCCCTGGCATTCTCCTGTGTGGTGGCAGATGTGGTTTCAATCCCTTCAGGATGAGGATGGCTTAAACCCAGGTCTCCCACATCCCGTGGTTAAGAGCCAAGGGTTTTAACCATTGAGATCATATATAAAAGGTAGGCGTCACCTCTTTCTCTGGCAGCCGTGTCTTAAAAAGGATGAGGCCTCTTCTGTTCTTTCAGTGAATACTTGTGCCTCCCCTTAGGAAGGGGTTCCTGGCTTAGGATCCCAATCAGAGGGTGCCTCCATTTCAGAGAGAGGTGGGAACCCAGATACCTGCTGTACCTGAAGTTTCCTACTGGCTATTTCTAGGCAGGTCCCTGCCCAGTGCATGGGACTTTTGGACCTTCTTGCTGAGGTACCTACCTCTGCCCAGGACTGTATGAGGAGCCTGGCACCTAACTCTGGGGTTTGGATTCCACTCTGGAGCCCAGGAGCTCAACAGAAGATAGTGGTAGCATCTAATTTGGCAGCACTTCTGTCCTCCTTTGCCTCTAGCACTAAGGCTGTATGTCTATACTGCTTCTGCAATGCTCCTGAGAGCACCACTGAGAAGGCCACCCCTGCCGCTCACACCCAATCCTTCATGGGCAACCCCCAAAATAAGGCAGTGAAGCCATTCTCATGACCCCCACTGCATCGCTGCTCTCAGACAGTGTTTTGGAGAGCTGTGGTGCAGGGCACCCCCAGGCTGGCTTTACTGCCTCATTTCTGTGTATCCAACAGGGAGTGTCTGTAAACAGCGTGTCCGAAGCTGTCCAGGGTGAAAGTGTCACTACCAGGGTTAAGAGTCCCAGCATTGTGCAGTTTCCACTTGAGAGGACATCATCTTACGTTTTGAAGTCTCCAAGGTTCAAAACCCTCTAGGACTGGAAACCTAGGACCTGAAACCAGACATCTGAGCTACAAAATTCCCCCCCCCCCCCAAACCTGGGGGTCAGGCCCCCAAT